ACCGTTCGGCTTTGAGATGGCTTTACCTCTCTGCTTTGAGCTAGGAGTGCTTCCTAGTGTACGGGCTTTACCGTTCGGCTTTGAGAGGGCTTTACCTCTCTCCCGAGAGGGATTTACTGCTCGGTCTTTGACTTAGAAGTGTTTCATAGGGAACAGGCTTTACCGTTCAGCTTTGAGAGGGCTTTACCTCTCTGCTTTGAGCTAGGAGTGCTTCCTAGTGAACGGGCTTTACCGTTCGGCTTTAAGAGGGCTTTACCTCTCTCCCGAGAGGGATTTACCGCTCGGTATTTGACCTAGGAGTGCTTCCTAGGGAACGGGCTTTACCGTTCGGTTTTGAGAGGGCTTTACGTCTCTGCTTTGAGCTAGGAGTGCTTCCTAGTGAACGGGTTTTACCGTTCAGCTTTGAGAGAGCTTTACCTCTCTGCTTTGAGCTAGGAGTGCTTTCTAGTGAACGGGATTTACTGTTTAGCTTTGAGAGGGTTTTACCTCTCTCCCGAGAGGGATTTACCGCTCGGTATTTGACCTAGGAGTGCTTCCTAGGGAACGGGCTTTACCGTTCGGCTTTGAGAAGGTTTTACCTCTCTTCCGAGAGGGATTTACCGCTCGGTCTTGGACTTGATCGTTAATTATGAACTTTGCTGACGAAATTGGCAATCAGTGTTTGCAATAGGAGACTTCCCCTTCGTTAATTAAATTCCATGATACTTTGAGCATGAAGTCCGTTTATGACTAGAGCTTAGTCTGCACTTGCATAGTTGATGGCGTGGATTTTGATATATATTTCTTCAAGATGTTGTATTGCTGAAATTCTCATGATGATATATATTATGGTATATAACCGTATAATAAATGATTCGGTTACCAGATATTATGAATTGCATCGAATAAATAACATAGATAATAAACAAGGTATCAAAACCGTCTTGAGATTTTATAATATTGTTGTTGATAGTTATCTCTAACACAACAATTTCTTTGACTATTTTAATCATGCCAAAAAATGTTTCGGTTATAATAATTAGATAACTATATTTATAGTTATATACTATATATAATATATCATATAATATATTATGGATTATACTATACATATTTAAAATATCTATATAAAATAGTTGTTATAATATCTATTATTAATTAGATATTTTATGAAATATTCATATTTCAAAAAATACTTATCTTGTTGATGACGTCTCACGTAGAGATGATGATTCATGAAGTGTAGTTTTCACTTTGTCAAAAGTTTCTGGTGTTGATCTGAAATAGTGATGTCGAGACCGAACGCTCGTCTTAGTTTCTTGTGGTTTCTAATCATCTTTCTAGTGCTTTGTTGTTCCTCCATACTCCTCGTGGTCACCATTTGGGTTTGCCGTTCGGCCCCATGGTGGGCGCCAAAATGTTTCGATAGATATTTTTGGGATCGAGAGACTAACCTGCTGATGTGTCTGTGCTGCTCGCTCGCTTCCAAACTCCTGCTATTGGCCGATCGGTGTTGGCACGTGTGATTTGAAGAGCCTCGGCTCTTAGTTGAATATTTAGTGAATGATTATCACTATTGAGTATTTAAGAGTAGCATAGAGTGAATAATGCGTAAATGGAACCTACCTGGCTTTCGGTCCTGGCTTTGTATTTATAATTTACCTCATGGATCCTGAGCTGATATAAGTCCAATAAAATATAAACAGAACAAGATATAAACAGATTACCTGAAAATCCGGTTGGTTGTTTATAACCTGCTTTATCAATATCTTCAACCAAATATTTCTATTATTTGGTTTATCAAATATCTGAAATTACGGCCTAAACCCTTTGACTGGGTGGATGGACCGATCGATCTTAACCACCAACCGCTCAGTCAATATTTCATATGATACATCACCATGGAAAACTTTTGACACAAGCATCCATTATAAGAAAACAGATATTTTAAAGGAAGCTTGGGTTTTGAGAGAAAAAAATGGGCATCCTACACTTTTACACAAGTGGTTGAGCATTTAGTAAGAATTGTTTATTACAATAGTACTTCAAAAAAGTGAAGAAAGAAACAAGTCGTAGAATCTTTAAAATTGTCTTTCTCAATAACCATATTATTGACTTGAGATGAATGGAGTGGCCATTTTGGATTCCTTTTGTAAAACCATATGCTTCTCACACACCTCCATAGAAAAATATTCTTCAACCAGGAATCAAGGAGACTGATTAATTAATCCCATTTACATGTTTACATTCATAACTGTCATCATCTATGCTTTTGTAAATATGGATAAATTTACATTGAAAACACAAACTTTCACACAAGTGAATCCAAGAAACAAGTACAACACAAAGGCCTAAGGTTTTCCATGGATGCTACACTATACAATATAGCAAAAAACTAATCATACTTCTCTCTCCACAAGTAGACAAGAAAGAAGAGCCAGGAAGTGGCCAACGCAATGTCCCCAACAGCATGTCTAGGCCAGTCATGGGCAAGATCTTCAAGCTTCCTTCCAAAGTAGAATCTCCAAACTGCCATAGATATGTGAAGAAAGACACACCCTTTGGCAAAGAAACTTTGGAACTCCCAGTCCTTAACACAAGCAACCATGAACACAAGGAATCCAATTGTGAACAACAACAAGCCAGAGAACGAATCTGAGGTTTGAATCAGTAACTGATCATGAGGTGTTGACCCTTGAAGCTTGCTTGCTGTCTTTGGTCCATGCCCCAGCACACATATCTCTTTCGAATAAAACACCATTAGGACTCCACAAGTCAAAGCTATTGCAGAATGCAGAACACATATTAGGAAAAAGCAAGAAGAACCCATTCCTCCAAATTCCAAAAACCCTTTCTTTTTTCACACTCAGCTCAGCTTCTTCCCCAGTAAAGGCAGTTCAAATCTCAAGCTCTAGTTACTTCACTTACCAGTAGTACAGTAACAGTGATAACAGCAACAGAACCAAATCTGTGACATGACCAATCCTGATTCTAGTTTGAAGCATGCTAACTTTTTCATCATCACCCTTTAGAACTTCAACCGAACAAATCAGAAGCTTAGTCTACTCAAATTTCAGACATGGCATCAAAAGGATGCTGAACTTCACCTTGATCACAACTTGTTGACAGATTTCAGCAAACCAGTTTCAATTTGGTACATAAAGGCTGAGAGGACTTACACAAAGATGGAGAGAGGACTAGAAGATTAAGTTTTGAGATTGAGTAGAGAAGGAGCTTGATGAACGAAGGTGATGTTGTGTTACCATAAATACCTCATAAATTGGATCCATATTTCATGCAGACATCGCCATGGTTTTCTGGTGGCCTCCTTTCTTGTTTGTTCTACTAGGCAATTAATTGAATGGTTGGTGGGTCATAGAAATGGGTCTACATGAGATTATTCAGAAAATGTTGTCGTTATATTTGGCATTTTCAAACTTGTAGGCCACGACATTTTTATATTTGTCAAAATACTAAAGGGGCTTTCATTGTAGACATCATTCATAATTTTGTACTCATTTAATCTTAAGGATAAGTATGCCAGAAATCTATGATCTGCCACCCGAATTCTAAGTATCTTGTTTTGGTTTTGGTGTGTGTGTATGTGGCAGTCTGGGAGAAATTCACTCATATGCTTTTTTATTTTATAATTAGGAGAAACAAAATGAAAGACGTGGCGGCAAAAGATAAACAGAAAAAAAAAATCTACAAAAAACTATCAAAATATATTGTGGGAGTAATTAATATAACTCTTGTATTCTATAAATTGTTTATAAGAAAAATATATCTGAGAAATCATTGTATATTCTTAGAATAGTTATCAACACTACATAAAAAGAACAGTTATATTTGTATATTCTGATCATCGTTAAATATAAATATATTAAACTACAATTTGTTCAAGTTGTGCTATCTTTCAAGTGTATTATATTCTAAATGAATTTAATTTAACTATCTTGGTACGAATATTTTCTCTCATTTTTTTTTCTTTAGAACGTTGATTAGTTTTGAACGAAAGTTAAGATTTTGTTTTCCGGTTCTAAATCTCTTTTACTGATCTTGATCTTGTTAAGATTTTTAACGAAAGTGCACATTCACTGGTAAGGAATTTTACAATTTTAAATTAATCTTTAAAATCTATAAAATTTATAATAAGATATTAGTGATAGAGAAAGTGGGAAAACTATCTTTAAGAAGTAAAATCATAGTTATCCATAATATAATAAAAAAAAGGAAAATATAATTTCTAAAATTGGAAAGAGAAATTTCTGATTTAAATGTATCTCTAGTAAGAGTATACTTTACTAAATATAATTATATATATTCAGGTATCATTGGTGTCACTTAGAAAAGGAAAAAAAATTAGATGCAAAAATTTGAAGAATGTTCAATTGTAGGCTGGAAATGCGAAAATTGTAAGTTTGTCAACGTTTCAAGAATATTGAAAATGTCAAAATTTGACTAATCCAAATATGGAATATGATAAAGATTTGTTTAAAGAGATTTTTAAGAACAAGAAATGGTGTTCAGATGTTTTAAAGTACACGAAAATTGCCAAGTGTTGTTGGAATACACTTGAACAATAAAATAGAGAATTATATCTCTTTCAAAAGTTAGTGACAAGACAAGCGATTTCACACGCAGGTTTGGCAGTGAATGACTATCTTTTCACTTATTTATTCCTTCATGCAATCTCTTTTTATTAATGCCAGTGGTCACTTATTCTAATTTTTCATTTATCTTTCTGAATAATGATATACATTTGAATTGTTTCTTCTTAAAAGTCAATTACTTTTTGTCTTAACATAGAATTTTCCATGTTTAATAAATCAGATACTAATCTCGAACATGGCATGATTTTCACTGATACAGTATAACCATTTTCGGTTTCACTTATTTTCAGGGGGAAAAACCCAAACATTTAGCCCATTTTAGAGAAGATTTTCTTTTTCTAGAAAACTAATCTTTCAAAAATTATTCGTAAAAAGAAAATCTAACCATACACACTGTTCTCTCCACAGGGCAACTTTTATTTCTGTAATTTTTCAAGCACTGTTACGAACATCCAACAGAAACACGGATCCAAACACATTCTACAAAGACTACAACTATATAGCAACGGTAGGGCAGAGAAAAAATTAGTGATAATTAAGTGTGCAAAATGCACTATTGAGAACCCCCCCTTTTTTTTTCTTTTTCCTTTTGGAAAAAGGGGGTAAAGATCTTTCAAAGATATTTACAATTCATTAAGCAACAGCTTCAAAATTGTTGTGAGCTCTTTGAAGTATAAATTTGCAACAAAGAATGCATGCATTTACACTTAATAAAAAGAAAACAAAAAGCCTCGTGGAAGAAGATAACACTAAACCAAAAAGTGGTTCAAAACATTGCTGAATACTCTATGATGATGCTTTGGACCTGATCTCCTTTCTCCTCTCCAACGTCTAGGATGATTCCTCATCTGAAACTTGTTATAATAAGCAGCTGGACTAGGACGCCGGATTACAACAGCTGGTGGAGGCATGTGTTCCAAAACGTCTCTATGGTAAGTCTAGTAGAATTCATCACAAACCACCAACATCAAAATCCAAACCATTGAAGAGGAAATAAAGCACATGCTAAAAGACCTTCACAAACATTTGCAAATGCATGTTGACTTCATAAACCAGTAAGCTTTTTCTAACAGCTAAACACAACTGCAGGGCAAGACGCAAATACAAACCTGTATCACAAAGTTACGTCTTTCACAATCCATAAACATGTTAATTCTCCAACCAGTTTTTGCCATTATTTTGTCTCTTACTGTGGAAAAGCTTAATTGATCCCTGGAAGTAAAGCGATCAACTTCGTTGAACCATAAGCAAGTAAAAAGATTTGTAATTGGAATGTGCTCTCTTATGATAACACACCCTTCAGGAACATCTGCAGAAACTCAGCCATAAGCAATACTTCAGACTTTTAAGATGGAGGAACTATTATATGCAAGCACAGGCACAGATGTGAACACATAAGCCATTTTACATATGCAGGCATGAATATATCAAAAAAATTCCTACCACTAGTTATAGGAAGCTTGTCTCTGGAATAATGAGTTAAGCCATCGTATAATTTATAAAATCGAATTTGGTTATCAATGGAAGCATTTTCATATTTTCCAGCAGCTTTATTAGCCTCAGCTTCAACAAATACATCAAAGCGTCTATAGTGTCTTGAAATCGCAAAAGTAGCATTTGGGCGCCACAAGAACCTGAAGGATATGAAAGGCAATGATACTTAAAGATATTAGAAATATACACTTACAATTTATGGTTGCATATATCCTCTTCATATGTTGTGCTATAAAATAAAGGCAAATGACCAAGATATTAGATTAAATACTATGACTTTTCATTTAATACTATATGTTTTAACTCCCTAGCAATTGTCCTAACGATAGTAATTAACGATGCTCAAGTTACCAGTGGTTCAGCAAAAGTAAAGATAATAGGAGTCATTTGATCATATCATTACTTAAACAGAGAGACCAGAGTCCGTATAGTGTAATAAGAAGATTCAATTTAGAAAGTTGGATATGTGGATTGCTGGCTATTTATAAGCTTTAACAAAATATTCAATTAGAAAATACCAAGAGAACTACTTGAAATTTCTCTTTGCTATATATTATAGATAGCATAGCTTGCTAGAATCCGACTGCACCACATCAAATGGTAAAAGATATGCACTAGTATAAATAAACCGTGTAAATCTGCTGAAAATCATTTAGCCAATAATAAAAGTAAATCCTTTAAATATATGGTTATTATTATAATATCCAAAACTTGTCAAATCAAAATCAATTTACAACTAAATGAACAAACAAAACTACATATTTTCATCAGAATATAATTGGAAGCAAACAATGTCATTGTGTATTCTCAAGTCTGACGGTAAATAGAATAAATAATAGCAAATAAAAATGTATCCCACCAAATACAAAAGAAATAAAAACCAAATTAATTTTTAGTAAAATAGAGAGCAGAGATTGCTTTACCTCTCAATAACCTGATATGGGTCCACGACGAGCTCAAGCTTCCCGTCAATCCATATAGAATATCGGGCATTAGGGAAGATCCTGTGTAAAAGAAGTTTTGGAACCTGTAATAAGTTTTGCGGCATCGTGAGATCACATAAAGTTTCAGAAAGGGGAATGTATAAAAAGATCTTATTCAACTTCAGTAGAATATATATCTAATTATTTTGTGAGTCCTTCGTAATAAAGCAATAATTCAGAATTCCTTCTCACAATATTTTTTAACCAATTCCTTTTCCTTCCCTTCTCAGCTTTCCAAACAAGTTTATATTAAATTAAAGCATTCATAACAATAATTACTCTAGTACAAAACAGTCTACATTATGAAATCAAATGCTACATAATATTTAAATACATAAAAAATCAATTCCTCAATAGAAGCCTCAACTCTTTGCTTTCAACTCTGCGCTTCTATACACTCTTATTGTGTTATTAATACTGTATGAACTAGTAAAATCATTTCCCCAATCACAAAACATGGTGAAATGTTGAAGAAAGTGGAAATAAACAAAAATAAAGGCCAAGGTTAGGCCAGAAATCAAAAGCTGCAATTGAAAAGGGGGACCGTGTCTAGAAATGATAGAATATCTGCTGAAAATTGTACAACTTTCAAGAATGCGCACAATAGATTTTACTATAATAAATAGTGAGAAGCAAAAAGTAAGCTGTCAACCTTTCCGTTACGCCGAGAATCAGCGTAAGGAATATTATGGACGACAATGATTCTCCATAATCCAACTCTCCTGCTGCTACTCAAAATGCTGGCATTCTTCATAAACATTTCTGTTTCTTCATCAATGAACATATAGAAAGGAATGTTTCTCTTTGCTTCTGAACTGATGTTCCTGGGCTGCTGTATAACATCATAGTTTCCTGGCATAGATAGAAGGAACCATGTGAAGAAGAAAACAAACAAAAAGATGCATATCTGTAGGAGATTAGCCATAAGCCATACCGAATATGGCAGATGCAACAATGACATCATGGTACTTATCCAACTCTAAGAGATCAGCCTCGTCAAAATCAAATCCAGTCCCACGACCAGGTCTGCTTCCTTTGACAAATCTGATAAGAGTTTATGCCAATGCAGGAAAAGGAATAAAAATACATGTAGTAAACAAAACACTGATACTAATGTGGGGGTGACTTCTAAAAATTCTTCAAGGAATATTAATCTCCAGACTGGGAGAAAATTAAATATAAATAACAAAAAAGAACTAACCCGCAGTGCACTGTCATGGTCTCTTTTATATCAAAAGCAGCATTCCTTTCTTCCAGAGAAGGGTATCCACCAAAATCAGAGCCACCATGTCGGTCACTATTAATTGAATTTTCATCATGCACATATGTCAAACTACGAAGTATAGGAGATTTTGATGGGGAACTTGGCATACTAGCTATAGCTTGCTTCACTGGAATATAACACACAGGGCATGCTGAAAATGAAGAGAGCAAACCCGATTACACGAATTCTAGAGGGACAATAACTAAATATGCAGTGTGTGTACGTGAAAATAAGATGTTATTGCTCATATTCGGGTTAATAATTTGAGTTAAGAAATGAAAATAGGCCAAATGGAAAAACAAGACTTACGGCGTGGTCCAGTTCGTCTTCTATCAACTGGTGGAGGCGGAAATGCAAAATGGTCACAACGATGTCTCCAAGTAGGGAATTTTGCCCTTTTGCCTTTAGACTTGGACAAGGACAATGAAGAAGGAGCAGAAGGTGGCCTTGATGTGCTTCTATATCTACTTGTCGATGAGAACACTCTAGAAGAATTACTATCCTGGGACTTATCTTCTACAACTCCTCTAGGTCTTAAAATTCCATACCTAGTAACGGCATAAGATCTCGTATCTTCAATTTCACTCGTGATGCTTCCACCTAGTTCATCACAACACCAAAATACATTGTAAACATACATATTTTAAATCATAATCGAACCTTATGAAGATAAACAGGCATAAAACCATGGGAAGTCCTAAATCAAATCACTATATCTCAAATGGTGTCTTAACTCCTAACCAATATAACTTCAACTTTAGAAAGAAAAGAAAAACAATTGAACAACAAGACATGAACTAACAATTCCAGAAAGATCAAAACTAAAACACATTATACTATCACTTATTGATCTTAAAAATTTATAAGATGCAGAGTGTTGAAAATTGCACATCAATTAAAGATAAGACCAATTTAAAATATATATGTAGATATAAACTCACTTTACAAGCTAGTTTTTGGAGAATTAAATTTAAAATCTCCTTCTTAACATGCTATAAAAATGAGTTAGAGTTTATCCTAACGAAATTTGTGTTGGACACATCATTCTACCTGTTATCGGACCGCTATCAAACCACTTATTAATGTATAGTCCTGTACCCAAAATATATATACTTTGGTGTAAAGAGATAGATGTATTAAAAGCTCTACATTAACTAGAAATAAGATCAATTTAGAGTATATAAATCTCATCTTATAAACTGGTTTGTGAGGTAAAATTAGCTTAAAATCTCCTTCTTAACATGCTATAAAAATGAGTTAGAGTTTATCCTAACGAAATTTGTGTTGGACACATCATTCTACCTGTTATCGGACCGCTATCAAACCACTTATTAATGTATAGTCCTGTACCCAAAATATATATACTTTGGTGTAAAGAGATAGATGTATTAAAAGCTCTACATTAACTAGAAATAAGATCAATTTAGAGTATATAAATCTCATCTTATAAACTGGTTTGTGAGGTAAAATTAGCTTAAAATCTCCTTCTTAACATGCTATAAAAATGAGTTAGAGTTTATCCTAACGAAATTTGTGTTGGACACATCATTCTACCTGTTATCGGACCGCTATCAAACCACTTATTAATGTATAGTCCTGTACCCAAAATATATATACTTTGGTGTAAAGAGATAGATGTATTAAAAGCTCTACATTAACTAGAAATAAGATCAATTTAGAGTATATAAATCTCATCTTATAAACTGGTTTGTGAGGTAAAATTAGCTTAAAATCTCCTTCTTAACATGCTATAAAAATGAGTTAGAGTTTATCCTAACGAAATTTGTGTTGGACACATCATTCTACCTGTTATCGGACCGCTATCAAACCACTTATTAATGTATAGTCCTGTACCCAAAATATATATACTTTGGTGTAAAGAGATAGATGTATTAAAAGCTCTACATTAACTAGAAATAAGATCAATTTAGAGTATATAAATCTCATCTTATAAACTGGTTTGTGAGGTAAAATTAGCTTAAAATCTCCTTCTTAACATGCTATAAAAATGAGTTAGAGTTTATCCTAACGAAATTTGTGTTGGACACATCATTCTACCTGTTATCGGACCGCTATCAAACCACTTATTAATGTATAGTCCTGTACCCAAAATATATATACTTTGGTGTAAAGAGATAGATGTATTAAAAGCTCTACATTAACTAGAAATAAGATCAATTTAGAGTATATAAATCTCATCTTATAAACTGGTTTGTGAGGTAAAATTAGCTTAAAATCTCCTTCTTAACATGCTATAAAAATGAGTTAGAGTTTATCCTAACGAAATTTGTGTTGGACACATCATTCTACCTGTTATCGGACCGCTATCAAACCACTTATTAATGTATAGTCCTGTACCCAAAATATATATACTTTGGTGTAAAGAGATAGATGTATTAAAAGCTCTACATTAACTAGAAATAAGATCAATTTAGAGTATATAAATCTCATCTTATAAACTGGTTTGTGAGGTAAAATTAGCTTAAAATCTCCTTCTTAACATGCTATAAAAATGAGTTAGAGTTTATCCTAACGAAATTTGTGTTGGACACATCATTCTACCTGTTATCGGACCGCTATCAAACCACTTATTAATGTATAGTCCTGTACCCAAAATATATATACTTTGGTGTAAAGAGATAGATGTATTAAAAGCTCTACATTAACTAGAAATAAGATCAATTTAGAGTATATAAATCTCATCTTATAAACTGGTTTGTGAGGTAAAATTAGCTTAAAATCTCCTTCTTAACATGCTATAAAAATGAGTTAGAGTTTATCCTAACGAAATTTGTGTTGGACACATCATTCTACCTGTTATCGGACCGCTATCAAACCACTTATTAATGTATAGTCCTGTACCCAAAATATATATACTTTGGTGTAAAGAGATAGATGTATTAAAAGCTCTACATTAACTAGAAATAAGATCAATTTAGAGTATATAAATCTCATCTTATAAACTGGTTTGTGAGGTAAAATTAGCTTAAAATCTCCTTCTTAACATGCTATAAAAATGAGTTAGAGTTTATCCTAACGAAATTTGTGTTGGACACATCATTCTACCTGTTATCGGACCGCTATCAAACCACTTATTAATGTATAGTCCTGTACCCAAAATATATATACTTTGGTGTAAAGAGATAGATGTATTAAAAGCTCTACATTAACTAGAAATAAGATCAATTTAGAGTATATAAATCTCATCTTATAAACTGGTTTGTGAGGTAAAATTAGCTTAAAATCTCCTTCTTAACATGCTATAAAAATGAGTTAGAGTTTATCCTAACGAAATTTGTGTTGGACACATCATTCTACCTGTTATCGGACCGCTATCAAACCACTTATTAATGTATAGTCCTGTACCCAAAATATATATACTTTGGTGTAAAGAGATAGATGTATTAAAAGCTCTACATTAACTAGAAATAAGATCAATTTAGAGTATATAAATCTCATCTTATAAACTGGTTTGTGAGGTAAAATTAGCTTAAAATCTCCTTCTTAACATGCTATAAAAATGAGTTAGAGTTTATCCTAACGAAATTTGTGTTGGACACATCATTCTACCTGTTATCGGACCGCTATCAAACCACTTATTAATGTATAGTCCTGTACCCAAAATATATATACTTTGGTGTAAAGAGATAGATGTATTAAAAGCTCTACATTAACTAGAAATAAGATCAATTTAGAGTATATAAATCTCATCTTATAAACTGGTTTGTGAGGTAAAATTAGCTTAAAATCTCCTTCTTAACATGCTATAAAAATGAGTTAGAGTTTATCCTAACGAAATTTGTGTTGGACACATCATTCTACCTGTTATCGGACCGCTATCAAACCACTTATTAATGTATAGTCCTGTACCCAAAATATATATACTTTGGTGTAAAGAGATAGATGTATTAAAAGCTCTACATTAACTAGAAATAAGATCAATTTAGAGTATATAAATCTCATCTTATAAACTGGTTTGTGAGGTAAAATTAGCTTAAAATCTCCTTCTTAACATGCTATAAAAATGAGTTAGAGTTTATCCTAACGAAATTTGTGTTGGACACATCATTCTACCTGTTATCGGACCGCTATCAAACCACTTATTAATGTATAGTCCTGTACCCAAAATATATATACTTTGGTGTAAAGAGATAGATGTATTAAAAGCTCTACATTAACTAGAAATAAGATCAATTTAGAGTATATAAATCTCATCTTATAAACTGGTTTGTGAGGTAAAATTAGCTTAAAATCTCCTTCTTAACATGCTATAAAAATGAGTTAGAGTTTATCCTAACGAAATTTGTGTTGGACACATCATTCTACCTGTTATCGGACCGCTATCAAACCACTTATTAATGTATAGTCCTGTACCCAAAATATATATACTTTGGTGTAAAGAGATAGATGTATTAAAAGCTCTACATTAACTAGAAATAAGATCAATTTAGAGTATATAAATCTCATCTTATAAACTGGTTTGTGAGGTAAAATTAGCTTAAAATCTCCTTCTTAACATGCTATAAAAATGAGTTAGAGTTTATCCTAACGAAATTTGTGTTGGACACATCATTCTACCTGTTATCGGACCGCTATCAAACCACTTATTAATGTATAGTCCTGTACCCAAAATATATATACTTTGGTGTAAAGAGATAGATGTATTAAAAGCTCTACATTAACTAGAAATAAGATCAATTTAGAGTATATAAATCTCATCTTATAAACTGGTTTGTGAGGTAAAATTAGCTTAAAATCTCCTTCTTAACATGCTATAAAAATGAGTTAGAGTTTATCCTAACGAAATTTGTGTTGGACACATCATTCTACCTGTTATCGGACCGCTATCAAACCACTTATTAATGTATAGTCCTGTACCCAAAATATATATACTTTGGTGTAAAGAGATAGATGTATTAAAAGCTCTACATTAACTAGAAATAAGATCAATTTAGAGTATATAAATCTCATCTTATAAACTGGTTTGTGAGGTAAAATTAGCTTAAAATCTCCTTCTTAACATGCTATAAAAATGAGTTAGAGTTTATCCTAACGAAATTTGTGTTGGACACATCATTCTACCTGTTATCGGACCGCTATCAAACCACTTATTAATGTATAGTCCTGTACCCAAAATATATATACTTTGGTGTAAAGAGATAGATGTATTAAAAGCTCTACATTAACTAGAAATAAGATCAATTTAGAGTATATAAATCTCATCTTATAAACTGGTTTGTGAGGTAAAATTAGCTTAAAATCTCCTTCTTAACATGCTATAAAAATGAGTTAGAGTTTATCCTAACGAAATTTGTGTTGGACACATCATTCTACCTGTTATCGGACCGCTATCAAACCACTTATTAATGTATAGTCCTGTACCCAAAATATATATACTTTGGTGTAAAGAGATAGATGTATTAAAAGCTCTACATTAACTAGAAATAAGATCAATTTAGAGTATATAAATCTCATCTTATAAACTGGTTTGTGAGGTAAAATTAGCTTAAAATCTCCTTCTTAACATGCTATAAAAATGAGTTAGAGTTTATCCTAACGAAATTTGTGTTGGACACATCATTCTACCTGTTATCGGACCG